TCCCTCCTTCCTTCCTTCCTTCCTTCCTTCCTTCCTTCCTGGAGGATGTTTTACATTTTCTTCTACCTCCTAGTCTAGTAACCTCACCTATGTTATAAATTTCCTCTTTTTACTATATTATTTTTAACTCTTGTTAAATCATAGTGAAACACAGAAATCCAAACCAACCAACCAACCAACCAACCACTCATAAAATCTCATTGCAATATTTATGGGGTGTAAGTTCAATCTGTGCATAGTTAGCCCAGTCTAAACTCCACTGAATTTGGTGGTATTTCCATCTGTCTCATACTCAATTTGTAAAACCAATTAAGCCTTACAAGTAAGGAAATGTCAAATAAAGAAACAGTCCTACGAAACCTTTCCATTCCAAGTATTAGGGAAAAGTACTTTTAAAGAAGTGAAAGAAATACTGGAATCAAATTTCTGCTTACTTCCTTCAAGCGTCTGATAACTTCAGTGATAAGCTGATAACAAACATAATGCTTCTGGGATGTGCAAACTATGGTTTGCTCTCATACCTGAGTTGCCTGGGTTCACATTAATACATTCCATTGTAATCACACACAGTCTGGGTTTGCGCAATGCACTCGGCTGATGCTTGGTTGGATGCTTTATAGGTCAGTGCATTGACAAACAAAAGCTACTAGATAGCAACATTTGACAGCTTCTCAGAAAAAGATCTACCATGCTCTGAAAAGGATCTCTCACCTTCTACAAGTACTCTAGATTTGGGCTCTAGACAAAGGCTCTAGATCTGGGGACCTCAGTTGCTTCCTTAATGGCTCTAATTGATTGAAAAGAAAGAACATTTATAGGATCACATTAACAGAATAACAGAATTGGAAGGGACTTTATAGGTCATCTAGTCCAACCCACCACCAACCCACCCAAGCAGGAAACCCTACACCAGTGATGGCAAAACTTTTCAGCACCGAATGCCAAAAAGATCGTGCAAAAACATCGTGCATGTGCACTGTCATTGGAGCCACGCTCCAGAAAAGCCAATCTTCCCGGTTCTGGCATGCATGCACGCTCGACAATCAGCTGGCTGTGCACACAGTGTTTTTTAGCACTGCCGCGCACGTGAAGGGATCACACTCCAGAAAAGCTCTCTCTCTCTCACACACACACACACACACCCAACAATCATCTGGCCAGCGCACATGCACACAGTGTTTTTCAGCACTGGAAAGCTGATTGTCGTGCGTGCATGCGCACCTGGAAGGCAAACAGGCAAGGCCACACGTGTCGGGCGATATGGCTTTGCATGTCACTTTGGGCAGGCATGCCCTAGGTTCCCCATCACAGCCCAACACCATTTCTGACAGGTGGCAATCCAGTCTCTTCTTTGAAAGCTTCCAGTGCTGAAGCTCCCACAACTTCTGAAGGCGATTCGTTGATTTCTCTCACGGTCAGAAAATTCCTCCTTATTTCTACATTAGATAAACCAGTTCTCCTAATATCCTTCCCTTCCCACCAAAGAGCTTCAAAGAGCCGGTCCCCCGTCTGATTTCACGGCCAGTATAGATAAACTGAGAACGGGTGGAAGGAAATGCTGCCTCCAGATGCACGTGGAATGCCTTTTAGGCTAAACTGCCCCGAGTCCTCACCTCCTTTTCCTTCCAGCCCGCCCCAACCACCCAGCCACCTCGGTCTCGCCGGTACCTCCGAGAGCCGCTCCAGAGCTTCCCGTTCCAGGCAAGTAAAGTTCAACAGGAGCTCCCATTTCTCCTTCAGGAGCCGATCCGTAAAGTCGCGTTCCAGGGGCGACTCGAGGGCCCAGAACGCGGCGCTTCCCAGCAGCAGGTAGCTCAGGTAGAGGAACAGCAGCAGCGTCGTGGAGGGAAGCCCGCAGCTCCATTCCGTTGGAGCAGCCTCAGGTGGCGCCATACTCTGGCCGTTAGACGCGGTGGAGGAGACGGCGGCGGTGCAGAAATGCCGCGGAGAAGGGCAACCCTGAGGAGTAGTTCTTCCCGCGGTCTCCTTCCGAAAGCTCCCTGAAGCAGCGGCGCTTCTCCACCCGGATTCCTCTCCCTGGGCGGGGCCAAAGCAGCGGCATCCCCGGTACCTTCCCCAAACAGAGAGAATGCGTGTTCTTGGGCCCGGGGCGTTTTACTAAGTAAAACTGAACCACCTGTTGTTGAACGTTCCATTTGGCCTTGAATTTCTCAGCCAAGGCTTGGCAGGGCTCATCCCCGTAAGAACAACAAGAGTTGTGTCCGGAAGAGGCGCTGACTTTGGGCTTTACTTAGCATTTACGTTATAGTAAGTTTACTTTAGATTGAAGTGTGGATGCGAGTCAGTTTGGAATGGTCGTCAGTCACAGCACTACGGCTGGTGAGCACATAAGAAGTGGGAGCATGGCTGGACTGCAAAAGTCTAGTCAACACTAAGTGAAACTAAACTTACCATTTCTTGCAACTTCTCTTCCAAAAATTATAAAGATTCTTGCAGCTTAAATAGAGCATCCTTAAATGTATGCAGATGAATTTGTGTATTAATTGCCACTGAGCTGAGCTTTTATAACATGCTAGGCTAAAATATGTATGGCTGTTTTGTAGTTGAATAGATCATGCAGATTCAGCCAAAATGGTTTGTTTAGAGCAGGCGTGTTCAACTCGTGCTCAATGGGCCACACACAGCCCTGGACAGTTAATGATGTGGCTTCACACCATTGTGCATTTTTAATATATGATTTTATATTATAAAAATTATATATTTTATATGCGGCCCCCAAAAAATCCCTCTTCACCTAGTGTGGCCCAGGCAAGTCAAAAGGTTGGACACTCATGGTTTAAAGCTCAGTTTGTTGATTTAATTTAGGCAAGTGGATTAAATTTAGGAAAACAAGTTTCAATTAACCATTGGTTAATATGTTGAATGAAAACAGGAATAAAGAATTTTAAAAGGGAACAGGTCATAACTCCTCTCCTTTTGGAAACTAAGTACTGGTGTTATATGTTTTTGCAATGAAAATAGCTAGATTCTTTTTTTGGGGGGGGGAGGACAAGGCTTCTCTTCCTATGATCATAATTTCTTGTTGTGGTCTGTGTATTGTACCAAGTTATGATTTATTTTGAAAATGACTTATTGGTAGTTGTTGTAACATATCAAATCATAATGTAAAATTGGAGCTATAACATTTTAGCAATTTTGAAAGTGTGTGTCAATTTACAAAATGGCTGGTACAAGAACTTTATAAAATGGCTGATGTAGTGGCTATAGCTGGTCATGAAAATCCATTTAGCAGAAGGAGAATTAGCTTTGTAGGATGTTTTCTACTAGGCATGGGCAAAAACTGAGAGAATCTATTAAGAATCACTCTACTGAGTGATTTTTTTTTTTTCTTAGAATGAGTTTAATCCTCTGAAAACTCCAGTATGATTTTTTTTTCTGTCTTCAAATAACCATAACCATTCTTTTAGGAGAATACTAGGACTCAAAGTGAACTTGCATAATGCTTGTTTTATTTACACATTTTGTTAAACCCAAGGTTTTTTTTTAAAAAAAA